AAAAAAAAAAAAAAAAAAAAAAAAAAAAAAAAAAAAAAAAAAAAAAGTTAATATGACAAAGGGTGAATTTTATCGCTATAAATTTTTTTATGGTGGTCTTTCCGAAAATCTTTAAATATATTAGTATTGGAGTCATTATTTGGGATATTCAAGGCGTATTAAATATTAAATGAAAATATTAAGCTTCAAGAATGAATTATTGTACAGAAAAATATTTATTGCTATTCTGACTATTTATTTTTTTGGGTAAATTACTCTTAGAATATAATAGATATAATTCACTGAAGCTTGATAATTGAAATAGAACAAAAAAAAAAAAAAAAAAATCAATAAATGTCATACGTTTTTACTGGTAGGACGATTTGTAAAAAATTCAAAGCTAGTAAATTTTTAACCCTAACGCCTTTTTTTAGCGTTTGAACGTGTCAGATCGACGATTAGGTTTCCTACAATGAATATTCAATCCCAAAGTCAAGTTCTGACAGCTCTTGGAAAGTCGATGGTAAAAGTTTTTTTTTTTCGAACAAAAGTCTTCGGGGTTACCTTCCAGCGGTTGAAATGGGTCATCCGCAGCGCTGAGACAGAGAAGAGGAACTTCCACTCGGTGTAATTTATCGTGAAGAGTGGCTGTTGAATAATAATCCTGAACGTCCTTGTAGCCAAAGTGCCTTGCCGTAAAGTATTCATCGAATTCGCGAACCGTTGTACTCTATATAAAAAAAAAAATTTTATGATCACTGCGTTTATTTATTCTTTTTTTGTGTTCCTTTCCCCCTTTTTTTTTGTTACGTACAGCTCTGTTAAACTTTATATCCCTCTGTTTTAGAATTTACATAGTTACCTCTTACTGCTGTTAAACAAGAAAGAAAAAATTCTCAGTTCTACAAAACACTCACCTTCAACGCTGTTTCGATATCCAAACCCTTGCCCAGCTGTTCCCTTATTTCGTCGTCCATGTGTCGTGTCACATTTTTCCGAAGACTATCGCAAAGATGCCAGTTTAGCATCAGATTCAAGTATGGCTTTTCGATGCTTTTCGTCGCTTCGAACACGTTCCAGGGCACGGATATGGCGAGACCGGCTTTTAGTTTGCCGATGGCGGCTCTTCCCTTCTGGATCAAGTAGTTGCCGAGTATCAACCTGTCACGATAAGTAATACGTTTAGTTTACACCCGTATTTTATTTCTATATCAGATTAAAACTGAGGTGAAATATACAATTATTGATTAAGATGTTTCTATCTCAACTGCCTCTCTATTCGATTACCGAGCTGTTTCTAACTATTTTTATACCCAAGATAAATATTAATTTTTTAGCGTTCGAGTTGTGTTTTAGCGTTTAGTTGTTTTAACATTCAGACGGAAAAAAATTTTTTTATTTCAAAAGACCAGATTCTTATTTTCAGATAGTGTAAAAATATTAAGTAATTACGAAAAAATTAAGAAATCTACAATAAATGTCATAAATCAGTAAGCTTCTCTTTGTTCCGCAGTCGTAATCAAAAATATATTTCAAATAATGTGAATTAAAACCTTATTGCTTGAATTTATTTACTAGAATTATCCAACAACACATTTGAAAATAACACGGTGTAACTTGATTTTTTTTTTCAATTTGAACCATATTATTTTTAAACATGAATAAAATTAACGTTTTATTAATATGAGGTATTAAAATCGGCATTTCTCCGGTACCACTAATAAGCTATGAGCAGAGAAATAAAGTTTAAATAATTATATACGTCACGTACCCTCCCATTGAAATACCTGTGGCTGCAATGGGCATGTTTGGGTGGAGCCGGTGCACGTGCTCGATGACTTCGTTCAAGTCCTCGCAGTTGGAAGCACAGTACAATCTTGGTGTCTGTAATAAGGTATCCTTTATTTAATATGCATAGTATTGCGTCCATAAATATTTTTATACACGGTGTGACAGTTTTTTATCTACGTATATTATGTTGGTTTTTCCTACTAACTTTCAATTGTTTTAATTGCTCACGTTTATTAATATCTACTTGAGTGTGGTGATTGATTTCATGCAATAACTCAATAATATACATTTATAAGTATTTTTATTTTTAAGTTTCAGTTATTGATAAAAGTTCTAAGATATAAAAAAAAGTGTTTGAATGTTTAATAGGACAATTAATTTTAATTGCCTAATTAACGTTAATAGTCACGTATTATTTAGGATTTTTAGAAAATATTCATTACGTAAAAAAACAAAAAGAAATTGTACTTGCAAAATAAATTATTTTTGTACTTAAATCTAATTTTTTTTTACGTATACAATCACAATTAAATATTTCAAGTTAAAAATATTTAAATTTTTTTTATGAAATGAGTTTTTCGAAAGAGTTTCAATGGCATAATTCTGCAATAATGGCATTATTTTTACGTGCATTGTACTGCTAAGATGTATTTTTGTTTAATTTTTCTCTTTAATTTTTACATACTGTTCAAATTAACTAAGGTATCACAAGATTTTATGAAGTACGTTAATGCACACTGACTTTTAGCATAAATATTTCGTACTGATATTATAATTTAAAAAAAAATTATAAAAACAAAAAATTATTCAAGATTTGTNCCCCACCCGCGTGTATACATACGCGTCTTAACCGTGGATTTTCATCGATGGTACTTGTGTGTACGGGCTACGACGAGTACATTCGTGGGTGTGAGGGTTTTTAGATGTTTATTTTACAATACGCGCTAATTTGGATGCAATGCCATTGTTATACTAATAATATCAAAACACACCGAGAGCTCGTGAGCCAACGCACGGCCGATAGATAATTTTCGGAAAAATATTCTAGATTACCTCGCGTAAATATAGACGCGCATAATCTGCGCGCGGAATCGAAGTAGTCGTAAGTCTTGGGAAAATAAAGGGTGCAAGAAGAGACGCCGAGAGAGGGTGTAGAAAGGAGAGCCCGAGTGTATATATGCGTAGCAGTGGCGTCGAAATCAGTAAGCTCTCGCGAAATTCTCGTTATCGCAAAAACGATTAATGCCCGTTAAAAGAAATCCGTGATTTACGCGAACCATCCGGGTTGCAGGGAGGGGGTGCAGGTCGTGTTGTAGGAGCAAGCCACGGGCTCGGAGACTTTGGGAGATAAGGCCTGAACAGCCCCTTCTTAGCCTTAGAGACTTAACAAGCAAGGCTGTACACATATATTATATACGTGTGTGTGTGTATAGGTGTATCCGGTGTATAAGTAACGCCATTTTATACCTCTCTTGTCTTGCTCCCTCGAGTTTGCCCCTGTATAACACGACTGCCTGACCCGTTACTCACGTCGTTTCAGCTAAAAAAAAAAAAAATTCTGCTTACAAATTATAATTTTTAGACATGGATATTGACATTTTATGACTCGACAATGTACGCATGCTACATGCGAGTTGATCGTGCACGTGTTGGCTACCGTTATTTGTGATGTACAAGAAGTATTCCGCACACAAACTTCATATATCATGAAACTTTTTTTTTATACGCAATTTACAAATTCATATTTTTGATTTGAAAAAGTAGACAAAAGTAGACAGAAGTATGACAATATTTGACAACATTAAATAAATCAGGTGTATGATTATATACACACACTTATGAATTTTGGTAAATTTAGTTATATGTTGTTAGGCTGTCCTCGATTGAAAAATTTTCTTTAAAAAATGCCATTTCTCAAGGTTTGAGAATTTCTAATAAAATGGTTTATAAACAAACAACCAATGACATTCTGAATTCATATTAAGCTAAAGTATAAAAAAAAAGTTTTTAATAATGTGTAAGAGTGTTTGTTCGAAAAATATTTCTAAATACCTAAAAAAACAAATTGTTCACCGTTTAAAGACGCTTCATTCGTATTTTTTGAGGAACAGGTCACGTAACGCATGCGCCAGGCGCTCTCCGCTACTCCGCTTCTGTTAGAATGTGCTTTAAAAGAGTGCCATGAACATGAACGCTACTGAGGTCGAATTAATAGAAATAAATATAGAGACATGATGGTATATTGTGTCACGCACGAGACTCTTCTATTGTGCTGCCTTTTAATAGTCTATCCGCAAAACGTACCCATAAATTGTAACCGCATGTTGAACCGAGCGTTAATCTTATACATTAAGCGTTACGTGTACACACACATTCAAAACATGTATGAGCGAAGGTAATGAGATACATACTTAATTTATTGAGAAAAAATAATTATCAAGTCAAATTACGGATTAAAATTTTTTAACTCTCACATTGTTGGAAACCATGTAAGAAATTAAGTTGCGATTACTCAGTACATTTGCATGTCAACTCTAATAAATATAAGATCAGCTGCGAAGATTCAGCCGATCTTTTCCCAATAATACTTATTTGTCATCACTGTTTTTAATAAAATTTTGAATTAAAGAATAGAAAGGTCTACAACTTGAAACACGTTGCACGAGTTTGACAAGAACAAAAATGTTGTTGCGGAACTTTGATTGCATAAAAATTAATTTTTACTAATTATGTTGATAATGTTGTTTTTTTTTTTTTATGAAGAAATAGATTGTTGCAGTAACGAAGTTTATCATTTCAACGTGAGCTTCGAAACAAAAATACAGCAACTGAAATGACAATATATTACATTGACGGTTTTTCCGTAAAGTATACGCTAATCTACATTTAATTATTGAGGTGAGTTTCACAACGTTTGGCAGCAGAGATGCTATAAATATTTTGTAACACCTACGAGTGACCGATATTTACTAAGGCATTTTGTTACTTCCGTCCTCTGTAGATTTTTTTCTTTTTACATCAGTCAAGGGTCGACATGCTCTGAAACTCATTTTCCTTACATTTCGTCCAAAAGTCCTCTCGTTTTACGTTTAAAAAAAACTAACGTATTTTAACGTATTATTACAAACAAACACATACAATACACGTCGCGCTGTATTAAAATTCAAGTCAAGTTTGTCTCATAGCACGTAATGCAACATATTCCTCGAGTCACTCTGTCAAGTCAGCATGTAATATTTAAAAACCAACCGCAATATCTCACTAACCGCGATGAGAGAGAGAGAGAGAGAGATAAACACGTCACAGGCACCCGTTTCTTTCGTAGATACACACATAAAACGTGCAAAAGAGATGAGGGAGACTGTCCGCTGCAGTGACTCATGATTACAGAGGTGTCCTTGTCTTATTCTGTAAGTATGTATGTGTTACGCACCTTGACAACTTCGAAGAGGTAGTAAACGCAGAAACCGAGACCGAAAAGCGCGCCGTAGTAAAGCTTCGGTATGCAGAGGGCGCTTTCCAGCATGTCTAGTATCATGATGATAATAAAGCTCTCCTGGTCACGCGAATCACAGCCCGTGGGGCAAGGTGTTCGTTTACAAAAACTTGCACATGTGTCAAATGTATGATAAGACTACATATATCCTATCTTTACGAAAAAAATATAAAAAGTAAAAAAAATAAAATTGCTAGTGGGCAAGGGTATCGAAGACACTGTATAATGGTGTTACAGGTCGCGCCAACACTTGAATTGTACTGCTGCGGTGTGGCTCTTCTAACGATGCCGTCGCTCACCGCGTTACGACTGAGGCAGACCGAGGCTGCGGCGCTGGTTAGTATATATAGTAGGTATTGAGTGATGTGGGCGTACTATCACTATATCTATATAAACTTACAGAGAGTCATACATGAAATACGAGACTGTTACGATCAGATAAACGTGATCAGTTGTATATTTCGAGTTTAATGATGCAAAAGGACAGGCTTACGTCACGTGTTATCTTCTGCACCAGCTGTTGGTTTTTATTTTGTCCTTTCTCTTCCCAAAATGACAGCTCAGTTTTTTTTTCTTTTATTCAAAAGCAACACGGAAACAAAATGTTCTAATCTCTACAGTACATTGCTTAATATTATATATTTAAGGTCTCATGCGTCTAAAATACCCAGTTTCAGTTTTTGTGGAAAACTTGGTGTACACGAAACTTAACGCGATAAGGAGCATCTTGATAGTCAATATTTTGTTGTTTTCGGAAAAGGGGGAACTGTCAAATTATTTTTCTCACTTTTACATGTTATCTCGTTTTGTTTCAATATTAACTCACAAAATTTTAATTTCAGAAACAGCAAAACCTGTCATTCTTCAAAAATTGATTTACAACGCTTCTTCTTATTTTAAAAAGCGTCTCTTCCGTACAAATTAAATTCTATTGGCTTGTCCCGCAGTATTTATATAAATCATGCTCGTGAATAAATATTCCGTATACTACAATATAACGTGCAGTCGATGAGCTGGATAGGTCTACAAAATACAAATTCATCTGTACAACCACCTATTGTCATTATCAGCTTGTCTACAACAAATAATCATAATCTGAGATACAAACATTCATGCGATTACATGATCAACAAAAAAAATACGTATGTATATGTGAAAATCTTTGAAAAATCGTGAGATAGAGAAAATTAAAATTTGAAACTGTTTTGCGTGGCATAGCGTCACAATTAAAAAATCCATGTCTTGTGAATGAAACGTGATATCTTAAGAGTTTTCGATTGCTTTTCAAACAAATATTACTCCAAGCCAAGTTATAGGCGAAATAGAAGGACCATCATTTTGGCACAAAAGACAAATTTTGAATTTTATACACGTCAACAATCTTCTGAAAATGTCTTCATCGAAGGTAAAAGAAATAGTATAGTCCGTTGCTGAGGACAGAGACCACACCTAAACATAATGGATGTTTCAAGCAAAAACCTTTACTTCCAATTGCAGTTATCTCTTGTAACGGGTTTTTCAGATATTTCAATATCTATATGGCGTAGCAAGTCATAACATTCTCTTCGTTATGTAACCAAATCAGTTGATAGTTCCATACTCAGTCACCTGTATCGAAAAATTCGAATATGACTTATGCGCACACATGCGAGTTGCATGCCAAATTATTGTAAGATCTTCGGTGATTCTTCTATTTGCGCTCATCTAACTCTACGCTAATCTCAAGGTAAATATTTCTTTGATCAAAGATCTTACGTTATTTATCATCGCAAGCCGAAGGTGAAAACTAAATAGAAGAAAAAAGTCGTAAAAAGCAACTTTTTTTTAAATTAAATATATTATTACATATTTTCATCAGTATAATATTTACACGTAAGTTATGCGCACGAAAAGTTATATTTAATAATATATGTACTTTGATTACATATTGAATTTCTCAAAGTTTTTCAATCTGTAGGTTTTCAATAGTTGTAAATAATTCTTTTATGTATCAATTAAAGGTGCAAAATTTTTATACGCTTGTATGACAAGGTTACTTTAAGATTTTTTTCGTAACAATAGAATATGTTTATATATGATAGTGGGGCTTCGCCCCCTTGAGCAATATGAATGCTAAACGTAAATACTTGATATTATGGAAATCATTTTTATTTGCGTTATTTATTTATCTTAATTCTGTTTTTCCCGTTATATATTATCATTTGGTAACATAAAATAATTGAAGTTGAGCGCAGTTAAGAATTATAAAACCCGACATCTATAAAGAAGAGAATGAACTGCGCTCGTCAAATGATACAGTACCGACAGCGCGGGCTCACGAAAGACTGACTCATGGTAAGGAAATCTACCGGAGATTCTACAGATGTCTGTGGCGAACCCATCGGATATTCGGATATCATATATATTGGATGCCCGATTTGGAGAAAATAGAAGGTAAAGCGGACAGAACCCAGCGGAGCAAAAAATAAATGGCATATTCAGGAGGAATCGCAAATAAAAGATTATTAATGAAATCGCTCAACGTAGAAAGAGTAAAAATCCGAAAGCAGGAAAATCACTTGATTTACGCCGTGTACCGAAAAACTATAAAAATAAAAACAGAAAAAAACTGAGTTGATAAACAAAGAAAAAGAAACTGACAGCTAAAACCACATCAAAAAAAGGGAAAACAGTTTACAGCCACGTAAGAAACGCATACGTGACATTAGAAACAAAGTATTATGATTATTTCAACATAACGAGGTGGAAAACTTGCCAGAGTTGGGTAAACTATTAGAGGGAGAGAAGCTTTACTTTAGAACGGTGATAACTGCATGGTAGAAGTTTGCGAAGCTCCACACTATCCTACAAAAGGATCCAAGAAACTCTAATTTCCCAATGATACCCGTTAAAAAGGCTGGAACAAAACACGTTCACCTAACAAATACTGGGTTAAAAATGTTGTGCACCCAACTTGAAGTAATACCATACAACGAAGATTCACGGAATTATTTATTTACGCACAATAATTTATTTATACACAATTCTAGATATTGTAATAATTTCGATATTTAAATTCTTACTCAGATTAACTTGTAATAAGAGAATATTATTTGTAATTTTTAATATTTTTTATTATCGTAAAAGAAACTGCACTACGGAACCAACATCTGTAAGCTTAAACTCCTCAACTTGAAGTCAAGAGACGAGAGCTGATTAATGTTAACAAAAGTTTTTTTAATAGCTTAGGTAAAAAGAAAATTGATATCGTCTATACATAAGAAGTGTTACACTAAATAATTTATAACATACATCCGTCGATGCTTACAGATCAGCATTAAAAAATAAACCTGTTACAATTTTCAAGTTTTAACATAAAAGGTAAAAATTAATCTTCACTACAATATCAAAATACATTACTATATACGGATACTTTCAAGCACAATACATCTGATGTATACTTACAGAGTATTAAAAAAAATACTTTTTATACGAAGTAATATACAGCATTTGATAATTATATTACTAATAATAGAATACAATATACTTAATAATACATTTGATTTACTATTACACTTCGAAATGTTACCATGAATACGTTTGATTTAAAATTTTGTTTTAAGAAACAACAAATTTTTTCCCCAAAATACACAATTTTTTTGTTTTCAATTTATTTTATGTTTTGTTTTAAAGTACCGAGTATTCAGAACTGCTAATGTCATAAATTACACACGGTATTAATATTTAAGTTACAACAATGATAGAAGATGTAAACTAATCGATAATTTATCATGGAGTAGGATTCACATAAACGTAACTAAGGGGCTTGTAAAAAAAAAAAATAAAAAAAAAAAAAAATAAAAACGTCACCTACAGCTCGTTTTTTGTGGGTCCACGTACGACCTGCTGCTTCTGCCCAACACCCTGATATTCAGCCGTACCGTATCATGAGCTCCTGTGGCACTGCGACTCGCGAATGTACTTGGCCCAGGTCCTCACGAGGTTGCGGTTCGTCTCCTTAGAATCGTAAGAGCAAGACAGAGTCTTGCGCAACTTAACGGCACCAGTCGTGTACTGCGACGGCTGAGAGCCCACCAGGACATCAAGATCGTTCTTTTCCTTCAGAGCCCAGTCCCACATCTCGGCGATCGAACAGTTGCAGACGAAAGGATTGCCCATCAGGTTGACGCTCAAAAGACGCGGATTGAAGTGAAAGACGCGTGGCCTGATTGTACTTAGGCTGTTGTTGCTGAGATCCAGGTGTTCGAGTTGTCGGAGTTTGTTGAGGAAAGTAAGGTTGTCGGCACCGGTCAGTTTGTTGTTCGACAGGTTAAGAGTCGTGAGGTTTCGCGTATCCGAGAACACGTCTTCGTGCAGTCGGCCGATGTCGCAGTAGCTCAAATCGATGATCTCCACACCCGAGAGCTGATCAGGCAGCAAAGGACCTTCTTTAGGAACCGCCAGAGGGTTTTTGCTCAGTTTCAACTCGATGATGTTGGCGTAGGGACGATCACCAAAGACTTTTGGATCGATTGGGTGCTTCAGACCGCAATCGTTCAGCTCGAGGCTCTCGAGTCGCGTTAGTTGGGTGAAAAGTCCCTCCTCGAGGGAGTGCAGCATGTTGCCGGACATTATCAATTTCTTTAGTGACGTCATTAACGTGAACGTGTTGTTGCCCACGTGACCAAGATTGCAGTAGGACATGTCAAGGTACTCGAGGGATTTCAGGGGATTCAGCAGATGGACAAACGCGTCCGAAAGTGGATTGTACGAAATGTCGAGTTCTTGCAAATGTTCGAGGTTCTCGAAAGCCTCGGGCAATCTGCGCAATTTGCAGTTACTGAGCGATAACTTGTGGAGTTCCGGCAGATGCTGCAGCACCACGGTCAGATCGGCTGCGAACATCGGATTGCCGTTTAGGTTCAGGTCGCGAAGATTACTAGCGTTTCTGAATGCTTCTTCGGACAACCTGTCCTGGAGATGGCAGTTGGAGAGATCCAGGGATTGAAGATTGTGCAGGTTGTGTCCTAATGTACTTTCGACGTCGAGATGGTGTAGTTCGTTGTCGGCCAGCACCAACCTCGTTAAATATCGATTCTTAGCGAAAGCGTCGCCCGGCAAATTGGTGATTTTGGTTTTTCTCAGGTTCAAGTATTCCAGGCGAACGAGGGGCGTCAGAACCGCGTTCCAGTTCAACGATCGCAAATCATTTTCGTCCAACTCGAGTTCCCGCAGGTTCTCCGAATCACGGAATACTTCCGGGGAGATGGACGTGAGACTACAATTGGAGAGTTTCAGGTATTCGAGATTCGTGAGGTGGTCGAAGGGTCCGGGCTCAATGTGGCCCAGAGGGTTGTTTGACAAGTACAGTTTGATGATGTTCGACGTGTTCTGGAAGAACTCCGAGTTGAGAGAGCGAATACCACATGCGCTCAGGTCTAGGTACTTTAGAGGCCGACAGTTGAGGAACGGGCCTTGTATTTCCGACAGTGGATTGTGCTGGAGTTCCAAATTTATAAGCCCTGGACAGTCTCTGCAATACAATAATCGATTCAAAAATCATTCAGTATTAATTAAATCAATCGCTTGATATAAATTGAGTGCCGATTCAAATTGTCAAACGTTCGAATGTACTCAAATATGTCAAATGTATAGCCAAGCTAAGTAAAATATCAATCAAATTGAATGAATTAACAATTGTACTGACGATCTCCTTTGGTAGATGTATCGCCGTAAGTGATCGTTTGAAAAGTTGTAGAATGAGCAAACAATAAGCTACCACGTACAGGTGGTTATCGGTAAGAGTGAAAAACAAAAAAAATGCGGAGTACGGATATGCTCACCTAAACGCCTCGGGATCGACCTTGGTAATGCGGTTGTAAGAGAAGTCGGCATCGAGGAGGTAGGTAAGGTTGGCAAAGGAGTCGTAAGCGAGCTCGGTAAGGCGATTGTGGGCAATTTGAAAGCTGCGTAGCTTGATGTCCGGGGGAAAGGGCGCCAGGTGCTCGACGTTATTGCCGTTCATGTCGAGCAAGTAGACGTTCCGGCTGAGCCCGTCGTGCGGCACCCCGGTCAAATTGCTCTCCGAGCAATCGGTCACCAAACTGATGCGCACGCTGTCACGGTGACAGTGGCAATCCTCCGGGCAGTCATACTCCCCGTTGCCGCTGTCGCTTAACCCGAATTCGTTGTAGGCCGAGATTGGGCCGATCAACAGCCAAATCGACAGAGCCATCAAGAGCACCGCCATCGCTGAAGCCATCCTCCTTCCCCTCGTCTTGGACGATCCTCGGTGTCCTCGAGCCTCCTCCTTCACCGCTGTCCTATCGATTGGTACAAGGGAAACTTGGCGTTATAATCAATTTCAAGCACCGTCATGTGTATATACATGTGCCAATGGGGAGGTAGAGATACAGGGATAGGCGCTTGCACGCTTATTCGAGCTGTCCGCAAGCGCAACCCAACCGATTGATTCCGTTTAACGTGCATCTGGAGCTAAACTTCCGAATTTCATCCCCAAGTTTCCATTGTATAAGCTTTATACTTCGACAGCATCTGCATGCCATTTTAAGCGCTTTTCGTCAAAGGAGGCAATAATATGATCATTCGAACTTATTTTAAAATCTATTTTTCGATCGTTCCAACGGTTACCTATGTGTACCGTATCCATCATTTTTTCCCCGTTCAAAGCTTTGATATATGTGTGAGTTTGAGGGTGAGAGCGAGCAAAGTATTATCAGCCGTTCTCTTTCGCTTTATTGCCTTGGACAATGTGGCCATTTGATTTAACCGTTCGGGGCGTCATACGCGAAGATACGCTCAACTGGCGAATCGTAAAACGATTCATTTTACGGATGGACTTTCTTTCCCGTTGATCGGTATCTTATTGTTAATTGTGCGGATAAAATGTAGGAGAAGAGAGATTTAATACTACATTTATGCTCGGGAACGTCTGAATCGTATTGCGCGTATTGTACTTGATTTATGCTGCTGTATCGACGGAAACTGCTTTTTTGTGGTTTTAACGTAACGGCGTGCTTGCGTTTGCGAGTCACAGTTTGTATTATCATAAATATATATATATATCTCAAAGTAAATTAAATATCAGTGTAGCTTTTGCAACGAGACTATCTTATTAAACATGCACTTGGTACATTCATTGTTAAACTTGTTGATTCTCGAAGTTGTGTGAAATACGAGTTCAAACAATGGGTTCCTGTTTCGATTCTATTCAATCGATCGATTTCTTGGGCGTTTAAAGTTCCAAGCTCGACTCGAGCAAGGCGTTTTATGACTTTTTGCGTTCCCTCCACTTGGCTTTCACGCTCGAAAAAAACTCGCTTTTCACACTGTGCATTATAAAAATTATGCACATTGATCAAAATTCTAAAAGAAACGAGCAGGGCTATTACTCAAATTTCTTTTCGATCGTTTTAACTTTACTTTGATGTAGACTGACACGGATCTTGACTGCAGAAAAAAAGTAATTTTCACTAGTAGATTACTGCTTAAAATTTTCTATATATATATATATCTGATGGTTCCAAATTGATCAAATGCCTCGTTTTCAACGAGATTAATAACTCTTTAAGCGTGGCCGTTGGTGTGGAAAAAATGCAAAAAAAAAAAAAAAAAAAAAAAAAAAGAGTTAAAAAAGACAAATTCCAATAAGAAATGAGATTAAGTAAGTTTTGTTTTCTTCGTCCCACCGCCACGATCCCTCTCCACCCGAATAATCCCATCGTAGCACAACATCAGACAACAGTGCAGCCAACCAAGCCAGAAGCTCCTGCTCGATTTTCAATTCTTAACTCTTTCTCTCCCACTCAATCCCACCGCTCGAATGCGTCCACCCCCTGTATGTGTATACGTATATATACCACCTACAAAGCCAACGCGCCGCTCCCTAATTCCGTCTGTCTATCGCATCGAATTGCAAAGCGACCCACCCCTGTGTACCTGCACACCAGCCGGCCGCGTTAAGGAAGCTCTGCTGTATATATATATACGTGTAAGGACGCCGGCCGGCTTCTCTGGTCCAATGCTCAACAGACAGTAGGTATACACACACATACACATACGTACACCTAACGCAAACACCCATTCGGAGGGCAACGAAACGCTAAAGCGACCGAGCTCTGTACGTATATATACTTATATATGGGAGAGGCCGGTTCGTCGGTGTAGAATAACAAATTTCGTAGATCGCGAATTGAGGCCGAATCGTACATATATATATATGTATATAGGTAAGCGGAGCTGTTCGCGAAACGCATCAGCGCGAGACCGTACTTATATTATATACATGTACATCCAACTGTATAACTATCCGTGTATATAATATATACAAGTCGAGGTGGGATGTATGCGCAGTTATATGCGAGTATACGGATGGAGAGGGAATTACATCGATTTTAGAAGGAGGTGATGTGTAGCGCGGTGGAAGGAAGCCGAGCCGACAGCTGCGGGGGCCTTGTAAACTCGAGAAATCTGGTTTTGACAGTGCGCCGAACTTGTTAACGGCCGCAGCCGACGATGCAAATGCGCCGCATCCCTCTTTACCCCTATATATATATTATATATATACTCCTCTCCCGTTTCCTCCTGTTTCTCTCTAATTTCGTTCACCTCCACGTCTATATTGTGTACGGGTGTGAGGGTGTACGCGGTCGATGCAGGTGTTGCAAAAAATCGGCTGTTCCGAGGATGTACTGCTCGGCTGACTCGATTGAGGAGAAGGTAGCATCTCAAATTAGTCGGGAACACAGTATATTGTCTTGGGCTGGTGGGTTTGCAGTGCGAGGTATACCTATACTCGTTGTATTTCCTTGTCATCGTGCATGCTTCTTCTTCTTTTTTTTTTTTTTTTTTTTTCACACCATCCGAAAAAGTATAACTTTGTCCGAGTGGAGTATGTAACGCGGTTTTAAAGTAAAGTTTGGAAATTTCTAGAATTTTAATCAAATTTCCAACTTTTGTCATACGCTCTTTGTTTCGGAGGGGTCCCGACTTTGTTTCATTTTTGTTTTTTTTTTTTGTTTTTTCCCAACCATTTCATTAATTTTTGGGAACTCATAGAACTCAAAATGATTAAGTTATTTCTCGAGCGTTTTTGCTTCCACGGAGAATAGTTTTGAACAGTTGCAAAGGGTATTTTATTAAAATTACAAGTGATTTTTGCATTTTTTAATGAAAAATAAGAAGAAAAAACAGTTCATGACAACATGTTGTATTTTCACGCAACACAAAGGGACAAAAGCGCGTGTTACTCGTCTCCTGTTGTATAAATAATATCTGAATATATCTGAATTTTGCACGTAATGTTGCTCAAGTATAACCATATATTATAATCCTAGTAATACTAGGTGCATGTATACGTATACTCACGTGCGGACGCGCGAGCAATCGTCCCCTTCTCGCTTCGACTTTTCGGTTTATCTCAGCAACGTAGCGGCGGATAAAAGGTTGATGACGCGGCTCGCACGACTCTATATGGTGCGCCAATTGTGACGCTGGACCGGCAATTGGCGCTCCAATTTCGCGGCCGGTCGAAACGATTTTCGCTACGGAGCAGCGGCTCAAAGGGTCATCGAGCTGAATTGGGACTTGAAGACTCGCCTTTTGTTCGCTCATCCTTATACCCCTCCCCGACTTATCGCCGACTCTGATTCCGTAGTGTTGGCGCTTGTTTGTTTTCCAATATACTGCGTGTACGTGTATACTACAACTTGTACAAGTGCTGATGCCGCTCGAGAGAGAAAGGGGCCAACTATTCGCGGGGGGAGACTGTCTATGCACGCTATTATGCTGGAAAACGAATAAGTTTCCTTTTTTTTGCACGCACTTTGGGTAGTAAACGTCTTTTTTTCTTTTTTCCCCACTTTTACGCGTATCGGTCTTTTGTCGCGCAGCCTCATCTTCTGACTTGGCGTTTTTATCTCTGATTGCCGCTTTTGTCGGAGCGAGCGTTTACCAGAGTGACTCGTAACGGGCGCCGCACGCGTTTACGCATTTAGTTTGTAAGCGTGTTTTTTTTTTTTTTTTTTTTCAGCTCAAATGAATTCTTTCCACGTTGGAGGACACTTTGTTTTCGCGTGCCTCGTTCATTCGTTGTTTCATTAGCATACTTATTTATTTTACTTTTTATTTTCGATTCGCAAAGAAAGAGAAGGAAGAAAAAAAAACAACCAACCGAAAGGCCACCCGTTCGAGTACACTCAGTTTTATTTCGTCCTTCCGATAAAAGTAATAAGCAGCTATCCGTCCCAAGTTTTATTTTTAATCTCATTATCGTATGATCCAAGAGTAAGCTGCTCTCAAAGACGTGTCCATCAGCACCGGGTAAATTAACAAGAGTCTACGGCGCTGCAGGGACGTTTTAAAGCAAAATAAGTATCGTCAAAGTTAACGAAATGACTTCAAAGAGGGACCGGTAGCTCGCGCAACTCGAGTCGCAAACGCAAACTTCGCGCTCCTGGCAGCTGTCTATATTTAGAGGGCGGAGGCGATCACGCGGAGCTTGAAAATTTACGAGTCCTCCGTGCGCGGCTTTGGGTATATCTATATATATATATGTATGCGTGTGTATGTGTGTACTCTCTTTAGCTCGGAACGTACGCGTGTCTTTGTGGGTAAAATGCGCGTAAGAAACTTTGTATTGAAAAAGTTTGTCATAGCCTTATTGGAAAACTGAAGGCAAAAATACGTGTACATCAGCCTCATATTTATTTTCGAGCGTTCAAGAATTTTCAATACCAGGGGTATATTACAGTATCCCAAAAATGTCGTCCTGCCTTGCTGTGCACCGTGAAAATAGTTTAAAAAGACGTATAGGTATACTTTTCAAAAGTTACTCGAAAAAGCGAATCTTGTATGGATATTTGGTTGATGTATGGTAAAGGTGCGCGGGTCAATTAGGCGGTAATCAAAGATTACGATCATTCCGTACTTATCCAAGGTAAAAATTGTCTCACGTAACAAGTGAAGCAGTGCATTATGTACATCATAGTTGCGAGTATAATTGAGTTAAATACAAGTTACAAATAAGTGGGAGTAGTTTGGTTGATAATTACGTCTATACTATTATACCAAATCTCGAGTAGTTGCGTATGCCATTTTGGACATTAATTAATGACAGTCATTAATATTGAAAATCTTTCTCTTCGAGCGCTAATTATCTGTAATTTGAAAATACTTTAATTGTTTAATTGTTTTGCGTAACACTTCAAAAAAAGATTTTTTTGCAAATGTTTCTTGTTTGCGTACGAGGTAATACCAAAACCATATAATCTTCGACTCGACCGACCCAAATACTTTATTTTTC